GGGAGGCGCGGGAGGCGCGGGCTGAGGCGCGGCCGCGGGCGGGCTGGGCGCGGCTGCTGCAGGACCCGCCGGGCCGCCGGCACAAGGGCCTCCACAAGAAGGGCCTGGGCAAGGGCTGCTTCGGGCTCAAGCTGGATCGCATCGGCGCCATGAGCGGCCTCGGATGCTGAGGGACCCCTGGCGGTGAGTGCGCGGCCGGGCCGGGCTGGGCCGGGATGGGGCCGGGATGGGGCCGGGATGGGGTCGGGATGGGGCCGGGGGGCTGCGGAGGATGTGCTGCCCTGCGAACGCGAGATGCCAGCGGGCAGGACTGCTGGTGTTCAAACTGCTGAGCCTCGCAACCCCTGGCATTGCTGGCGGGCAAAGGGGCAAAGAGGAGGACCCCAAAGTTGGCCTTCATTGCATTCCCATCCGGAATCCAACGGCTCTTCTGCTGCCTTGCCCTGCAGCAAGATCAGAGACCCCAGCTGCTCCCGCAGCAGCTCAAATTGAGGGATTCCTCCTAATTTGAACTAGACCCGTAGGCTTTGGAGAGGATGCAGGAGAAGCTCTGGTGCAGCCACCCGTTCCCAGTTGCCCCCTGTGCTTGACACACATGGGTTACTTATGGGTAGATGTAGGGCGGCAGGTACCCCCTGTGTGCCTGCAGTGGGATGGTTAGTGAGGCACCTGTCTCAGCTATGCTCCAGTACTGTTAATTCAAGGAAAAACAATACACAAGTTCCATGGGTGTCTTCTAGGTATTTGCATCAGAGCAAGTTATGGGAGGCAGGGAGTTCTTCCCACTATGCTCCACAGCCACTGCTTAGGAACCAATGGRCAAAGGAGTGTCACTTCCCCAAAGTGATGAGTTTGGGAAAAACATGTCAGTGCCTGTGCCTGCCAGGTCTCCCTGAGGGTGCTGGGGGCAGTGAGGCACCCTTCTGGCCTGGCCCTGCCAGCAGGACACAAACATGAACTCACACTGCAGCCCAGGCCACTCACTCTTCTTCCATGGCACAGCACTGCCCCACTCATAGGGAGGTGCCTGGCCCTGYAGTAACATAACTGGGCACAGAAGGGACTGGATCCAGCATCCTGCTGCTCTGCAGAGCGATGGGAATAACACAGTCCAAAGGTGCCCACAGGGTGCCCTTGCTGGCCCATGGCCTGTCCTGGAGGGRTGGGTGCTGTTTCTCTGCTCCCTCAWGTAGAGACTCCCCAGTATTGCCAARTATTGCCAGCTCAGGGCTCCAAGGAGCACACGCGCCCCATGTAGGCAGCTCATATCCATTGCCTCTCACTAAACCCATCAGGACAAGAAAAAAACTCCAACAGACACAGGGGCAGGAGGAACAGCAGCTTCATTCAGCCTCTCCCCTAAATACCAMATAGCCAGAAAGCAAAGGATGTACTTCTTCCTCGATTAGCACAAGCAAAAATGCTCAGGGAGGGCTTCTGCTGAGTTCAGCATCCCCCAGCCCCAGGCCAGGGTTACTCTGGTAGGGGTTTCGGCTGGGGATGGGTAAGGGGTGCTGTGTGGCAAGTACTAACAGGCATTTTGTCCTTGTTTCTCACAGGGCTTTGATTCCGTAGTCCGCTTTCTCCTACCATGCGCGGCCCGGCACGGCCATCCCCCAGGCAGCACCTAGAAGAGCAGAGACCCCCCCTGGAATGGACAAAAGATGTGGCTGTGTTTTTGTTTTTGGTACGAGGAGTCATGACACCAACTGTTTTGGTTTTGTTATTTTTTAACAAGTGCTCTCTATCTTATATATATTATATATACAAACACTCACCGAGACAAGGGACAGTGCTTTTCCAAGAGACTGATGAAGCCAACTGTATAACGTTGCTGTTTGTAAATTCATGTCATGCATAAATGTATTTATGTTGTAAAGCTATTTATATATTGTTTATAAAGAGATATTTATAAAAAAAATTATTTATGTAACTAAATGAAAAGTCAAGCATTGTAACATTTTTGTCCTAAGTAGTTGAAAAACTTTAAAAAAAAAAAACATTCCGTGTGGCATTTTGTAACCTGTCTTTATTTATCAAACTCACATACAATTTAAATGTTGGATTGATTGACTTTAACRGAGCTAAAGAAGAAACTTTCAGATGTTTTAGAAAAGTCAGGAGTGAGAGAAAGGCCAGCTGATATTTTAAGTTTTGATCCCGTGTGCAACAGTAAACTTGTGCCCAATCCTGTGATGCTCTGATGGACCGAATCCTGCATGGCGCTGCAAGACTCTGCAGACTCCAGCTGAGCTCCCTGTGAGAGCACAGAGCCTGGGGCAGCACATCCATGCCCAGATCCCAAATGGAACCAGTGGAAATGAGCCCACCATGGTTAACAGCCGAGCCCTGGACCGACAGCAGTGTGACAAGGGCAGCGTCTGGCCTAGGCATGCTTTAACCACTTCCAGTCCAAATTTCAGCCATAACTACAGTTCTATCACTGGGCGCCGGATGGAAATGCCGTCCCTGCTGACAACAACGAAGAGCCTGCACTGGATCTGGCCCCTGGCTGCACTGGTGGGAGCAGGGCTTTACGCCGGAGGCACTGCTATTCCGGGATCCAGCAGCCCACTAAGTGTCTTGTTGACATTCCCATTCACCAGCCCTTTGCCACTAAGCTGTAAAGCCCTYTCCTCCAGCAGAGATTTATTTAACTGAGCCGGGGACAATACGTAGACAAACCAAAATATACTGAGAGCTGCCTGGTAAGGATTCATGGACACAGCTGTTGCTACAGCTTCTTTCTATGTAAAGTGCATGAAATAAATCGTTAAAATGACTTGGAGCTCTAAAGGAAACAGCAAGCGAGGGGGCGGGGAGTGCAGTAAACATGCAAACTCCTGGTTGAAGGCTCTTTGGTGTCATTCTTCAAAGAGGCCTTAGAAAAAAACAAGTGGCAGGCGCCCRGCCCAGCCGTGACAGGAGTCACAAATTATGCCCTGGCCATTGTAGTGTGCTGGGAAACAACGAGCATTATGTTCTGCTGGGCTCYGGTGCCTAGGACAGGGCAAAAAGAAAGTCACCAAGACCAAAAGGCAAAGCAATCCTTTCCTTAGCAACCWCCAGGAAACCACAGAAACCTCCAGCCAGACTGACCCCAGCTCTTGAGAGAACTCTGGGTTTACRGAACAAGAGGATTCATCCAGACACTGACAGTTCAATCACCAGGTTAGGAGCGTGTGGGTGACATTTCTGACCTCCCATGAGTACGGCCTCTGTCAGAGACAGGTACCCACCTCATAATGACCACAGAGTCCAGCTGGACGAGGAGCAGCAGCTGATGGTTCACGTAAGATGTTGCCTACGGGGAACAAAATCRAGACCCTGGCAGGGAGGGAGGAAGGACAGACAGGCAGCAGCTCCCATAGGGAACAAAAACCCACTGTCAGGGCTCTGTAAGGCAAATACACCTGTGAAGGTCACCTTAGCAGCTCCACATATCTTTAGAGGAAAGGAGGGGCTCTATCAGGAACTCCTAAAGAGATGCCCATTAGAGGGGACTGTCCACTGTCACCCAGCAAACCCAAGGGACAATAAGGAATCACTTACTGTGCAGACCTTGCACAACCAGATCTGAACAGAGGTGTAAGAAGGTAGTGCTGCAGGTCCTACTCAGGGTCCTGGTCCTTGAGCATGAAGCCAGAGTAGGAACCATGACATAGTGCCAGGCTGGGACCAAGGTGGGGACAATTCCCCTTCAAGTTTTGACTTTTTTGCTGCAAATCAGAAATGAAATAAAACCACTTGCCTGGTGACAGAGGGGTTGCCCTCAACACAGCAGCAGGGACTCAGTCTCAGGAATTCAATCCACACAAATATGATCACCTAAGTGCGTCAGAACCTGAGATAAGGCTGGGGAGATTGGAGATCACAGCCTGGGGTTGTGTACAGTCTGGATTCCCAATTCTTCTCTGCAGCATAGTCCAAGTGAAAAAGCCCCAGCACAGGCTCCTTCCATCCASTATGCTTCCTGGGAAAGGGCAGGCCTAAGGAAAAAGTCAAAGCTGTGTGGCAAAAGGACATTAGCTTGGCAGAAGAGCAATCAGTGAGAGCTCCCAGAGCAGAGGCAGGGATAACAGCTTGGTTCTTCGCTTTGCTGGTTCTGGTCTGACCAGGGATAAGCCACTCTGTCCCTCAGCATCTGGATTCCCACCGGCAGGATGGGAATATCGTGCCCATGTGGGTGTGTGTGCTGCTGTGCAAGGGAGAAGGCAGCACTCAGAAGTGAAAGAGCACTTGGGAAAGCTCAGATCCACTCCACCTCAGCTCCTGTGGGGCACAGCCACACCAGTGGGTCTGATGGGCAGAGAGTGGCACTGCCAGCAGAGGTCAGTTCTCTGAGCAYTGATGAGCACTTTCCTGGTTCACTGGACAAGCCAGAATGGGCATCAGAAGTGGCTCATTAGAGCACAGCAATCACCTGAAATGGCCACAACTGGGTCTCCCTGACAGGAGTTCAGCAGAAAACACGGGCAGCAAGAAAGAGGGGGCACAGGAATCTAATTAAAGGCAAGGAGTCATCATGTGCAGTAAAAACAAATTCATCTTGCATCACTGCCTCCCCCSTGGGCCAGCTAGGTCAGATCCTCAMAACATCCCATTAAAGCATCCATGGCCAGCGACAATCCCAGCCCAGAGAGCATAAAAAGCGTTCTGGATGCAAGGTGCAGCCTCAGGAGGTGGCATCTGATATCTCAACCACAGGTTCAGAGAATGGCCTTTAGCAGAGGTGTGGACACACATCTGGAAGTGAGGAGGGCAGGAGTCCCAAGCTTTCCTGTCCATACTCAGGCCTACACGCTTCTGCACTACCAGGTGAATGAGCAGTAGTCAATTCAGCTTCCAAATGGGAACACTTATGACATGATATAGGAACAGCCTTGATTTCTCCTCTCCAGGAGCAACTCCAAGCAGGGTTTGAGCCATAGGCCCCCAGCCTGAAAAAGCACASAGCTCCCAGTGAAAAAGGACAAAGAGCTTCCTCCAGTGTTGTAGTGCCTGGCAAAGCCCAAGGAGGCTGGAGCAGACCTTGGCGCTCTCAACAGGGGCAGTCGCCTTCTCATTGTGGGAAATCATCCTGTTCCCCCAGCCCATATTGCGTGTTTTTCCCCGGTATCATTCACACAACTTTTCCCAGGTATTTATTGCTGAAGGGTTACAAAGCCTAGTTCAGGTGACAGCAAATCCCAAAGCAATGACAGAAAAGAGATACCCAGAGTCCCAGAGCARGAAAGCAAAGGAATTTTCCATCTGGAAAGGGACTTGAGGCATGGAGCAGGGACTGCCAGGGGCAGCAGCACACATGCCCCTGCCACTTGCCCCAGGACTTCTCCAAGMATGGGCTGCTTCCCCCAGAATGCAGAAAAACAAAGGGAAAAGATCACAGGGCAACTTCCAGAGGGAGCCTGCACTTGACACAAGTGTGAGTCGGAAACAAGAAGGGAATTGAATTTGGGCCCCTTCCTGTCAGTCAGCAACTAACCTTGTCAGGAGGGATGGCAGCACTAACCGAATCAGGCAATTCATTAGGTTGGGGCATGCCGCAAAAGCCCACGCTCTCTGGAGCAGAGCTACAGTGAAAATCCAGGGTAATGAGTTGCAAACTGCCTTTGTAAATGACACTTCTGCACCAACTCTGGCAGGCTGGGAAAAGAGCTAATAGGAAAATCATTAGGTAGGATCCCTTTGATATTGTTGAAAACTGCACAGGCTATTTTTCCTGCCCCCTCTATAATTAACCTGGTATATTACCCATAATACTCCAGGCTGRTATTTCCACGATGGACCACCTTATCTGCATCAGGGGAAAAGAAGGATATGCTACTTAAAAGGAAGATGACTTCCTGAAAAGCTTAAAAGGTTTAAGATTTCCCCCCTACTGCACACACCCATCTTCTTCAACTCCATCAGCAACCAACCTCTGCCCAGCCAGGAGACCAAACCCCTGTCACARTCAGCAGGCAGGAGCAAGGCTGTCCTGGGAAGTGCAGCTRCAGAGGAACTSATCTGCCCAAGGTTGCTCTCTGCAGCTGCAGCAGAGCTGGAAGAGGACACAGCTCTGTGTTTTGCCCCTTATTTACAACACTGTCCTTGTCCTTGACTTCCTTTACACTATACCAGGCTATAGCCTGTGCCTCCTGAGATGCAGAACAGCTCAGAGGAGCAATGCCTACCCACCTGGCTTGTCTGCCAGCAAGGAGAGGTGTCATCTGAGAATCGTGATGTAAAAGGTACAGCATCACAGCTGGCAGGTAATCCTGAAGGAACTGGTGCTCTCTAACAGCTGCGAAGGTGACAATGAAACACCGAGACGTTACTTACTGCATCAGCACAGAGCAGCCTTAGCACTGTGCTAATCACAAGACAGTGAGTGAGACACAAGGGCTGGTGAGATAAAAAGCATCTTTGGGAAAAGTCTGAAGGGCAAGAGAGCACTACTTCCAAACCTCATTTCCATGAAAATAAAGCCTATGGTCAGACAAGCTCCAAATTACTCACAAAGCGGCTGATCCTTGATGGAGCAMGGCTTTGCTTACCCACCACAATCAGCTCTTCTGGAAACACAGAGGTATCATGTGTGATTAGGGCATTTTAAAAACACCCTAATGATACAGATACTCCAAAGGCTCTTTGGAGATCWGCAAATATGGTAGCATGTCCCATCTTCTACTAGAATTACAGAAAGCAAGGACTACTGGCACAAATTCTTTTGTGCTCTGTGGGAAAATACRTATTTCAGGACCATTAAATGACCTTATGGCATCCCATTAGTGCCTGGAATTTCCAGTGTCCAGTGTGTATGTGCATTCACTAAAGCAGGGACACTTCTTATCAACAAAAACTGGTCACAGCTACCATGGTCAGGCAATTTGCAGTGGGGCATATCATGAGATGTACACACTGCAGGAAAAAGAAGCATCTATGCCTGTGGGTTCAGAGACAGGGAGCAAAGTGCTGCTTTGCCTATTCCTTTGCCTGGCTGATTAATCAGAGAGGGGAGTAGCACCACGGGGACACTGAGAGGCAGGGTCAGCCCAGGCTAGGGGGTAAACACACACTCTCTTTACAGAGAATACAATCACTTACCTCTGGRAGCTCTGTGGTAGGGCCAAACTTGATGAAATATCAGCAAAATGTCAACAGTCCCTGAGAGACACGGACCTTCGTCACGGAGCAGAGTGAAACAATGACATATTTCTAAAAACTCTGCCGAGAGATTCAATCAGACTGTCAGGCTAAAATTCCATATGAAGAATACAAGCTTGAGGTTACAAGTAGGAACTGAGATCTCYCTAAACTTTAATTTACCTTTCTTATGCCCCTGGGTTACTCTCTCTCAGATTACACAAAAATATGCTATGCAGACTCAGGTTTTGGTTCCCTTGCATTGRGTCAGGTGCTATAGAGGACTTAATGGGGTGGAAAAAAACAACAGGAAACTTTGTTTGTRACCAGGTGTCCAAGGTCTGGCTAGYTGGGTCTATGTATTTGTGGGGCAGGCTCTTAAATTTCTTCATTGTCTCATTATTTAGAATGATAAAGARAAAGGTTGTTTTCCTGATTGCAGTTTGCAGCAGGCTCAGACCCAGAAGTAACAAACCCCAGCACCAACAGCTCTACAAATGTACAAACTTCAACTGTTTCACTGTGCAGGGATGGGCTTTGTGTGGTTTCCAGCTTAGGTGCACTCATATAAACCTGTACAGGACTGAAGGTTTAGGTAAAGTCTGGTTTACCCACATGATTGGTTATGTTCTAATACAGCTATCAAAGATAAGGGGACAGRCATCCTTTTCCATTCTTTCAGGAACTGAAAGATGTTCAACAAAGTTCACTTTGTGGGGCAGGTGAGAAAACGGCCATTTCTTTCCACAGTGTCTTCACTTTCCCCAGCTTCACTCTGGAGAGCAGCTCTGCAGGTCCTATTCCTGTACATGATCCACAGAGAGAGACCTGCAAGCCTGAGAGCAGCTCCACAAAGCAYCCATGGCATTTCCTAGGTCTGCACAAGATTGATTGCAGGACAGGTCTCAAATCTGAACACAGAAGGGTCTGTCAGCATCACTGATTTAGCCTTCTGCTATCAACACAAGAGTAAGTTAGCATTCAGCTTAGCTAAGAAGGTGAGGAGGGAAGCAAAAGAAGAAGAGAWTTCAATCCAAACTTCTTTTTTTTTTTTTTTGTAAAAGACTGACATCATGTTTCAGAATTGCCTGATGTTAGCTGATATCAACTGAGTCATGGCAAGAATGCCAGGGACATTTGTTAGCATGAGGCACAGCTTTAGGGCTAGGGCAGCCTACCAGCACTGYAATCAGCTGAGATCCTCTCTTCCATTTTCCAGCTCAGTGCTCAATCCCATATTAAACAAGCAATAGTACAAGTGGAACTGCAGAACACAAAGCTAGACAATAAAGCCCTGAAGAGCAGAGGGGAGGCAGTTCCATCCACTTTCTCTCCCTCTGGGTRGAAAAGGCAAACAGAAGTTCAATAGCTCAAAGTCTGTCCTGCTGCAATCTTGGAGCGAGCTGCAGCTGGAGCATCCCATCGCTGCCATAAACCAAAGCAGGGCAGGATGCTCAGCCTGCACCAGGGAACAGTGTCCAGCAGTGCTCAGACAAGCTGTGCTAGCTGCCTCCAGCAGGCACAAGCAATCTACGGAAGTTTGCATCAAATCTGCCTCTGCTTCCACCTCCCTCTCATACCCATAGCAGTACAGCTCCCTGGCTGGAAACTGCCCACAATTCAACCCCCACCAGCCCCTAATTCACACARCTCTGCTCTGAGCTGCTGCCCTTCCTGTAGTCACAAGGAGTCAATGCAGTTTTTATCTGTTGTCCTTCTCAAACAGCACAGCACCTCCTGCATCCTTGCTCGTTAACAACTCTGTCTTCTGCTTCATTCCTGGAATAGCTTCTAACTCTTTCCTTCAAGCCAGATTCATTAACCAGCTGCTGCAGAGCTGTCTGCCTCCCCCAGGTACTCTGTGCATGTCATTTGTTAATGACTCATCTCAGCCTGGGCTCATTGCAGACGTCCCCCTCCTTTTGCGGCAAAAGCCCTTCGCTGGCACACCAGGGAAGCCAAACACACAAACAACTCCAACTCCTCCAGTACCCCTTCTCCATCCTCTGTTGCCATCAGACAYGGAACAGCTCTTTATTCAAAGTGCTATTTCCTCCCTTGCTTCTTTGCTGATCAAAGGCAAGGCATACCAAAGCATAAATAAGATCCTCACCCCCAGCCAGGCTTTGAGAACAGCAAGAACGTAAGAACCAACTCAGAAACCTCCAACACACTAAAGCTTCAGCAAACTAATGTGACTCCTGCAACTGGCAGGGGATAAACACCAAGTGTGCCAAACTCACATCTATTTCCCCAGAAGACTGCAGCTTGATGAGGAGCTAAAATGATTCCCCAAAGGCATTTGTATTCCTCCTRCCTCTTYGCAAGACTGATATTAAAAATGGAAAGCAGAGAGGACCAGAGCCTCTCCTCTCTAGTCAAACCCAGTGAGAAACMGGGAGACCTGTATGTTACAGCTGTCCACGCAGCAAACCAGAAACAGACCCACTCCATTTCCATCACACAGACTTGGGGACACAAGGTCCACCTGCACCTCCTGAGAAGCTGTCACCTAAATACTGGAAGAAGCTGAAACAGGAGCTAATGCTGTCACTGCTTAGGAAACAGTTACSTTGAGTTATTGGTGAAGGCTTCGTGCTCTGGGCTTAGTCACTTAACATCCTTGTTGCATTTCTAGCGGGAGAGAGCTGGTAAAGAATCAGAAGCCTGACCAGAATCAGAAGTTTCTGGGACTTAACCCAGAGGAAGCTGGAGGGAGGGTATTTAGATCTTCCTCTCCAGATTAAAAGTTGGTGTGCCTGCACTGCAGAAGAAAAGGAGAGGGATTTACTTTCACAAGTGAGCAAGTCCTGTGACTAAGGACTGCAAACATGCAGATGGCAGAGTCCTGGTAGCAGTAAGAGGAAGGCACGTGCGTTGCACGAGCAAGTGCAGGTGACAGCTGGCTGCAGGACTGGAGCATTGTCACAGTCCTCTGCTTAAACAGCTCCCCTGCCTGCTCAGGGAAAGCACTTCTCTTTATAGAAGTGAAAGGCAGGGGCCAAACTATAAAGCAGCACTCTGCAAGACCCAAAGRAAGGAATCAACTGGCCTAAGACAGAGCACAGCTACAAACCTTCCACAACCAGGCATCAAAGCTGTTCAAGCTCAGGACACGGGGCTCAGCTACCAGCTTTGTCAGATCCTTCTGCACAAATCTGGACAATGATGAACGACTCACAAAACATGAAGAGGCTTCCCTGTCTCCCAGATGCATCAGGGAGCACAGTTAGACCTTCAGACAATGTACACCAAGAATCAAATAAATGCTCAAGTAAACAAGTACCATTGGACAACAAGACTAAAGCAGCCTCAAAGTCAAGACTCCAGACTCTGACATTAAATCAGTATTTTTAATTTTTTTTCTAAAATGTGCTTTTTTATGAATTGCTGTTCCAATGCTTCCCCCTTAAAAAAAACCCCACACCTTGCCAAACTAGGTGCAAATCACCTGAAATTAGTTCGTAACAAATAAAAAACCCCACAAAACAAAGGCTGAAATGCTTTAGAATCACAACAATGTACAAAAAAAAAAAAAGGAAGGAAAATACAACCTGAAAATGTTCAAAATTCAGAAAGACTAGTCAAGTCCATTGCTTCAGCAAGGGGATGCTGCTGCGACCCCTGCCAGTGGGTCCTRGGCCACCAGCCTGCCTCGATGCCAAACAGGCTCCTCTCCCACTGTCGCCAGCATCCAAGGAAGAGCGAATGCATTACCCTTTGAAGGTACCAATGGGGGAAACAACTCACAAGCAGCTCTGGGAGGTCACATCACATTCAGGAGGAACAGTTTCTAGCATGCCCCTAACCACCTGCAAGGACCGTGTGAAAGAGCAGCCTGCTTCCTCCTTATTGTACTGATGCCTCAGAGATGCAGAACAGTGCTTTAAATCTGTGAGAGATTAAAGGGCTTAGTAAGGGCAGTAAACAGACAGTTAAGTAAACAGCCCAGCACTGGAACTCATCTTCACAGAGCGAGGTAGTGTGAATTTCACCCCAGTTTAAAATAGACAGGGGTAGTGGAAAGGCTGAAGACTTCCATGTAAAGCAGTTCCTGGCCTAGAAAMCCTCCTGCGCTCCCTATGGGAATAAAAAGATCTGTGTTGATGGCTTCCTCGCTCCCAGCCTGGCTTTGGTAGCCACACTTCAACCCTGGGATTCAGACACTTGTAATAGAAGCTATCCCATGATCTGTTTCAGTACAGCAGCTTCCTCAAGGTTAAGCAGCAATGAAACTAGCTGGGAGGGAGCAAAATGGTCCACAGATATTTTGGTTTTTTCCTGCCCCTCTTGGTTAGTCCCTTTCTTTAAAAGTCCTTCTAGACAGGACCAGAACAGGGACACCCTGAAAATTCCTAGGGGCTGCACAGTGTAACTTAACCAGGTGCTGCTAACTGGGAGCTGTATTCAAACAAGGTTTTTACTTGCCAGCCGGGAAGGGACTGGCCCAGAACCCACTGAAAAAGGAGACGCAGGCCCTTTTTGCTCCTCCTGTTGTCATTCCTAACTGAATGACTTAGATGGCATGTTCTAGTGGCGGCTGGAGACCAGCCCTTTGACTTTGGACATCTTCTTTGTGGGCTGCCTTTGTTCTGTGTGTGGAGGGCACTCTCGCTCTACCAGCTGCTGTTCCATCTCCTGTGCAGACGACGAGGCCGTAGCTTTTAATGTTTTCTTTATGTTTGTGACCTGGCCAAGAAGAGACAGTGAATAAGCACCTGCTTCTTCCTCCCCTTGCAGCAGACACTTTGTTCATAAACATATTGAAAAACCCCTGGAGTRTAAGAGTGGAGATATAAAAGAGACTCTCCCAGCAGTAACATGCTCTGCATTAGAGTTTAATRAAGGTAATGTTTCATTCTCACAGACAGAGCTGATAGTATTTTCAGTCTGGAATAACTAGGCATTACTTTTTTTCCTAACAGACAATGGTACAATACTGTACCACCCTTCTGCCTSGCTGGAAGGACCTACTACTGCCTTGGTGCAGAAGGCAGACATCTTACCATTCTGTTGGCCAGAACCAGGAATGGTAAAGGAGACAGTGAAAGAAAAATTTACTTTCAGGACAGAACTCAAAAAGGCAAAATGCCATTTGGGCTAACCAGCTGTCTGAGACACAGGTATTTGCTAAGAAGCAGGAACAGAAATTGTTTTTGTCAGAGGCAGTGGTAATGTTTCTGCTACTGTGGCTRAAAAGGAGAGATACAGCACTAAGCACCATCTTCTGTCCCCTGGAACTCTGTAGGGCTCACCACAAATACAATGAGCAAACCTTAAAGAAAAGCTCCCAAGATTTGCGAGTCAGGTGTGTCAATTCCAAGCCAAAGGCATCTGGCAAACCAAATGCACTATGGATGCCTTTCAAGCCGCCAAGCAGATGCAAACATAAACCTGCGGGGATGATAACCCCTGATGCAGCGCCTCGGGAGGCCCATCCCCACCTTCCCAGCGGCCGAGGTTCAGGCACAGGGCCGGGCTAGACCGCGGGCTCGTGCTGCCACCTAACGGCGGGAGCGCGCCTGGACCCGGCCCSACACCAGAAGAGCTGCCGCGGGCATTGTCTGCAAAAGCAACTGAGACTGCGGAGGTTTTTGTTAATTACACTTCCAGTTTTAACAAAGAGAAGTGTTTTTGACTTCCTGCCTGCTCTGCACAAAGGGAACAGTTTTGCAATGAAGATTGGTGGCAAAAGCACAGTTTTCCTAATGAAATCAATACAGGAAACCACAGTTAGTGGAGTCACCTGGCCTAAATTTATAAAAATTTATCAAGTTCCAATCTGCTCAGTTTGATGTTTGTGGTCTTACTAGCACTCAGAAACAGATGTATTTTCTTCCTACCCCACACCTGATTTGCATGATTGCTAGCCTTCTTCAGAGAGCCATGACCATCAACCAGGCAKGACCAGATTATTTCTTTCAGCAAACAAACATTTATCCAACAGCACAGAAGCCYGAGATGACTCTGTACCCACCTCCATCTCTACCTGCTGCTGAGTTCGGTGATGGTTCTCTTTGTACTGATTGGCTCTAAGTACTTGCTGCTCAATTCCTAAAAGAACTGCTTCACAACCATCGCACCTGCAAGACACAAACAATATCAAACTGTTTACAAATTCTCTCTGGAGCAGCTCAATCAGACAATCTGAAAAGTCAAGCTCAACTAAAAGTTTAAGAGATTATTAAATTTATACTTCCTGCTTAGTTGCAAAAAGCTGGCAAGAAAAGCTTTGCTGTGTACTCAATGCATTTTTTAGTATTCTCTAGAGAGTCTGTGTTACTCTTACCATCAAAGAGTAAGTGCAGGTTCAATGCACTTTAATCTTCCTTTTCAGTCAGAATTACTGCTTAAACAGGATGCAGTACAGTATTTAAATATAAAATTTCAAAATTAAAGAAAAAAAGTGATACTGAGATAATCCTCCTGCCTCCTAAGTGTTCAAATGACAAGAGCACTCAGCACGAAATTCAGAACCGGGGAAGACAAAATGGAAATTGGCAGTGGGTTCACCATTACCTTCCAAACAATGCTGCAAGGTCCTGGAAGCTGCCAGAGCCCTCCCACCGTGATGGGACTGAGGGAGTTGAAGCAGAGAAGCTAAAAACCTGCCCCCACCACAGGACAGCATATTTGCCCAGCAGTTTAATTACGTTTCATGCACTCATTACCATAGCAACTAGGAAGCAATTCCCAGTCAGTTCAGGACCTGCCACAGACTATAAGGGCATTTCTTTGGGTGGGAAGGGAATCCTACAAAAAGATGAGAAACAGCTTTCTGGCAAAGGTACAAAAAGATGGTACCACAGTCCCATCACAGTTACAGATAGGCTGCATTTGCAGGAACAAAGACAAGACAAAGGCACCTGAAACTACTAACTTAAAGAGACATCTGATCCAAAGAGCTATGATTCTCTAGAATTTGCCCACACAGTTCTCAACACAGTGAAAAAGGCTAAAAAGTAACAGTTCTGTCTTCATTATCAAGTGTTCCAGCTTGAAGGGGAGCAGCTCCCACCACAGAACTATGAGTCCAGTTTGGCACCTCTTCCAGCAAAGTCCTCGACTCCTCGMTGGGGCTCTGCCATATAAAAGTTACAGAGAGAGCAGAAGCTCACAATGTGGTACAGTTTGGCTTGATACATAATACAAATTGAATCCCAGATGGGATCTTGGAAAACTTGCCCAACAGACTCCTCCTCCAAGTGCCTACTTATAGCATAAGACTCCTGATTAATGGAACATGGTGAAATTGAGCYAGCACTTGAAACTCTGAGGGGAAAAACAGGACAAGCTATGTACAAGGAACAAGGAAGGTGGAGAGACTGCCTCACCATTCCTGGAGTGTTTTGACAATGTTACTGATGTCCTTCTTCTGAATGTCTCTGCCGATACAAAAATCCACCTCCAACACCTGGTTTCGTTGATCCAACTTCCCTTGGATAATATCTGTATAAACCGCTTCAATAATGAGATCTTCCAGCTCCCTCAGATTCCTCATGTCCAGGTCCTTCAGCAACACAGAATAGGGAATGCACTAAAAACAGCAAGACCAAGAGTAAGTTAAAAGCCCTAGAGCCAAAATGAATGGCTAAGTCTCAGAAGGTTGAGACTCAAATGTTTATTGTATCCTGTACTTTGACCTGCAAGTGCAGCAGTGACTGATCRTGGCAGAACAAATGCTTGCCAGGCTATGAAATACTCTGACACAACTTTGGTAATTCCTGAAGCTTTGGTATAGCACATTCTAGAAGACAAAAAGGTAATGGGACTGCAGAATAAATTAAGAATGCTACTTTATTTTCCCCAGAACAAAAGTCAGTGTTTCTAAGAATGATTCTCCATTCCAGCAGTGAAAAAAGCCCAACAAAGTTTCTCAGACCTTCCTGACCAATCTGTACATCAGTCCAGACACCCCCACACTTCACCCGTGGAAGTCCACTAAGTTAGTATCCTACATGCTGAAGASAACACTGTATGTTACAGGTACTTTCCCAGTACAGGGTGTTTTTGAGTACCCATGCAGTCTGATACTTCAATGCCCTGGAATGGATGTCACTTTTTAAAACAAAACCAAGAGACAACAGTTGTCACACCCCATGCACTTTACCTTCATTCGGGAAGCCAGGCTTACGATCGTCAAGTGTTTCAGCTTATTTTTCTGAGTCACTGTTAATTCAGGGAGGTTATCTTTGTTTGCTGTTAATGTCAAAAAAAACAGAATTCAGGACTTTACTCTGAAAATTACATAATCCAGGCTGCAGAACTTCAGGCTAGTTATGCCACACTACACCCTGAAAGACCAAACACCTCCAGCTAATATGGGTGCTGGTGAACAGAGTGTGCTGCTGCAGACAAATTGGCATACCGAGGGAAAGAAGGGGAAAAGTTAAGAACAGCTTGGCCATTCCATTCTTCTCTGTTTCTTTAGTAATTCTTGTTCTGGAATTAGAAGGTAATTCACAACTGGTGCCCTGCCAAAACAGTTGGTCAATGGCTTTGTTTCTACCAAGTAATTTTTATTTCATTAACAAGCTGATAGAAAAAAATCTTCCCCCTTTGCTGATTTAGTTGCAAATACAGCTGGTTTTATTTCTTTGAAGAGTTGCAGAATTTAAAGTGCAAAGTACCAGACTGAGGAAGAGAGGAAATATTATTAATCTAGATGGCCACACTGCCACTGTATTATATCCATGTGCCTCATGAATATTTAAAGAGAGAAAGGAAACTGGCAGCTCTCCAAAGCTAAGAAACTCTTTAAAATATCTRCTTTAAAGGAAATGAGTGTTTCAGGGCCACTCAAGTTCTCCCATCCATCCCACCTCATCCAATCCTCTACATTTTGACTGCTTTTCCCCCTTTCTCTCTCTTCATTAGAAAAGGAAGAATGAACTGTGCTGCCACACACTGTGGCACAAGAGCCATGGACAGCAAACACATCCTCTAATCAGTCACAGAATTCATGAGGCTCATGTTGCTTCACAGACACTGGAATTTCCAGTCCTTGCACCTACAGATGCCACWTCTCCTCACAGGAACTAGATAGCTYATCCACCACACTGAGAACCAGCACTATGACAGAATTATTTGTCACACTCTGTAATGGTCTRGATGAGGCTGCTACCCACAAATGAAGCATTAAATTGTAGCAGAATGGAAGCATAAGCACCAGAGATAAAAGCACATTTCCACAGATACAAAGATGATTCACACATARTCTTTCTAAAGCTGTATAAAAGTCATTATTTTGACTTGTATTCTAGCTAACAAATTATGCATTTTATTTCAGCAATGCCGTCATGGAATAAAAGGTTATCTCACAAACCATATAGGTTTTTATAAATAATGCAGAACAATTTTGMCTAAGTTTTCTGCAGTTTCCATAACTGGTGTCATCTAAATTTCTATAGAGATGTCTGAAATTGCCCTCCACAGAGGTAAATGGCCTGTGAACGTCAATGAATTCTGCTGCAGACCAGTTCAATACAGCACTGCAGACCCATCCAAACCAGTAACACACCAGTCTCTAGCCCTTCCTTTCATTTTTAGCAAGCAAAAAGCACCCATGACCCAGAGAAGCCCTACAGATAACTCTTCTCCCAAGAAAATTCTGTCTTGGGAACTTTCACCCAGCCACACTACACCAGGCATCTTAGAAAGCAACAAATTGCCTCTGACAATCCTAAAGGGCAACCCAGTCCACACTCTGCAAACAGGCAGCAGTCTCTTACCTACATAGTCCCGGTATGTTCCATATGCAAACAGGTTCAGCAGCTGCAAATAAGCAGCATTAGACCCCTCAGCAAGCTGGATGGAGAGAAAAGAAATRTCACATAASATGGTCAACAMAACCCTGATAGGCAACTTCTCCAGRGRATGGTTTAAGTCTGCACAGGACAAGMAGTACCCAGAAAAGCAATTACATCCCAAGCTGGACCCTTTCTAAGGCCTCATGAGCAGCAGAAAATTTGAGCAGTTTCAGAGYCACGATGATCCAGCCATTTCTATGCACTGGAACTTAACCCCAGTTTGGACTGTCAACTGCTTTTGCTCCATCTTGGGAGGTAAAAGAAAAAAGCWAATCTTAATTTCAGCTGACAACCCRYAGGGCCAGTTCCTCTCATCAGGTGATAAGCAAGCAAGGCAACAGTGATGGCTGGTTAAGCATCCTGGGAAAGTTAAGACAGCTCACCTGAAGAGCCACCACAGCTTCAAAGCAAAGCATCTGGAACACTGTAACTTGAGTGCATTTGAAGGTAACAGCTCTCCTCTGGCCTGCAAACACTTCATGGAGTAACAGCAGCAGTGATTTTTATTGACTGGGTTTTTAACACCATTAGCTGCACACAAACCCAGGGAAAAAAAGTATTTATGATTTGATGCTGAATAACCACTGAGGCACTTTTCAGCATATTTTAAGAGCCTGTTTGGAATGCCAAACTTGCTATATGCTGTGCTACTTCAGCTGCAGAGACAAAACTTAGATTCCCTCATTGTAGTAGAAGCAGTGGCTGGCAAGTCATTCTCAGCAAAAGCTCTGAAACTTACTTTCCATCTCAGTTTGAAATGGTTTGGATTTGGTTACCACCCAGGCCTGATACACTGGACATCTGTTCACAAAGACTTTTGGAGAGCACTGAAGTTCTGCTTTCCAGGACAGTAAAGGAGTAGAAACGGATTTTTGCCTTGTTGGCTGGCAAAGTGCCTCCTTAAAACTGCTACTGTGCTGCTGCCAGGTTTTTGGCTGTGTTAGCAATTGCCTTAAGGTAGCAAAGCTTTATATAAGTAYTCTTTAACACCTAACATATACAGGCAAAAGCAAGGTCAGTCGCTCATTTCAACCAACATAAGTTGCACCAGGCCCCTCCTGGCACAGAAATTTCATTCACAGGCAGCCTGTGGAAACTCCTGGAGCTCCCTTACACTGGTAATGCAGAAGGGGCATTAGAATAAAACCTCAGCTCTTACCTCTTGCACATTTGTTAACTCCAACAGCTCTCCGAAGACATAAACCCCAGGAGCCTCCAGCACTTGATTTATAAGAGCAGTCAGAGCAGAGCCACTTGTACCTTTSGCTAGTAAAATAAACTGCTCTAGAAGATTACAGGACGGCTTCTGTTCTCCTGCCATTCTAGGTTTTCAATCTGTCAGTGAAAGAACACAATATTAACACATCCTTTCTCCTCTGCTGATTTCTGCCTGGCAGTGGACCAGAAGGTGCTCAGCATAGCAACATTTCAGAGCCAGGCCTTTCTCCAGCATTCAGGGGACAGGCCACAAGCCCAGCAGGTTCAACTGCTAATTTAGCCGGGGAGCAAAAACGATGCACACAGCATCTGAGCAAAACTGCTGTTCTGATCAGTTCCCTAAAAGGATCTGCTCTTGCAGATCCTTTCTTGTAGGAAAGGAGTTTAGAGTTCAAGCTGTTTTCAGACTGTTTCTTCTAGTGATGCTGCCAAATAAYGCCAGCTGTAAAGATGGTTGTTGATACCCTTGATTGACTTCCCCCSTCCTCTAAGCTCCAAACCAGCAACCGATGTAATTCCCTGTAAAGGACTGACCACACATCCCACCTTTTCCTTTGACTTTGGCTGTTGATAAAGTCCAAAGTCCATAATTCCCACTGCTTTCTGAGTCCAAAAGGCAAAAAGAACTGTGGCCTGTAAGCAGCTCCCCAGTCTGCACCGTACAGTTCAAGTGCTTTGGGTTAACTGGAAAGCTTGAGTGATAAAAATACCCTTTCTACAAAGGCTCTATTTAAGTCCCTGTAAAGAGAGGTCTTTGTCTTTGGCTGCTGCCTGACATTTCTGGTGTGCATGTTGTCTCCCAGCACCAACATGTTGCTTTTGAAATGTAAACCAYGATTTATTAACAAGTTCCACAAAATGAGCTGTTTGTTTACAAACAACTAAGACAAAACTTCCCAAGCATGCTATTCAGAAACCAACGAACAGATAAGGAAGGGTTTGTGTTATGTTTGTATGGGATAATTATCAAGCAGAGGGTATAACCTTTACCCTGGTGATGAAAACTGAACACCAGAGAACAGCAGAGAAGCTGTCTGGTTTGGGGTGACCACTGGGCCCACATCCACCCTTGCGGAGGGAGCACAGTCATACAGGGGTTTCATTGTTTCACCAGGYCTAACCAAATTAAGGCTTGTGAAGGCACCACAGACAGCTTCCTGTATTAGTCAACTTCYAAAAATACACTTTACCCTGTTATATTACACCTGCAGGTACAAATGGCTTCAACCAGAGCAGGCAACCTTTAATGCTCTCCACATAAGAGATATCTCAGCCCCCAACGTCTCTTTGGGGCTCTTTCTGTCAGAGGCACACATGCAGTCTGGCWGAACAGCACCTCAGTTCTGCCTGAGAAATCCCAGCAATACAGGCACATTCAGCGTGGCTTCCTACACATCATTGCTGCTCTCAATGCTCACAGAGAAGGAACACACAGAGAGTACAATTTCCTCAGAAGAACACGCGGATTGACTGTGCTGGGAATGAGATTCAGATTTCACAGCTCTATTGTCCTCCCTCACAGGTAATCAAACCACACGCTGGTATATGAGGTTACAAAAGACTAGCTGGCTGTATCTATGCCCTGGCAGGAAAGGAATGCCAATTCTCTGCCCCTTTCCAAGTAAATGTTCGGACAACTACAGTGCTATTGCAACCAGTGTGCACACCCGTGTCCCCGGGAATACCTCGCTGCTTCCACAACCGACTTACCCTGGTGAGAAGTGACTGAAATACAGCAGACACTCCAACGTAGTGGCTCCAAAGGCTACAACCCAAATATGGGGACAAACCGGGCTTCTCTGCCGGTCAGGCCTCGCTGAGGTACCTCAGGGGGTTTCAGGGCGGGAAGCGGCCCGCAGCCCCCGCAGGAGGAAGGCGSGGGTTTCCCGGCCCTCCCGTTCCCCCCAGACCCCCGGTACAGCCCTCGGCCCCATCGAGCGCGCCGAGCCCTGTCGCAGGGGGTGATTTACCGGGGATGCCTCACCGCCGCCCCYCTTTCCGGGAGGCTTCTCGCAGCCCCGGCATTACCTCTCCGTGTGCGGTCTCCCGTCCCGCCGCTCCCGGCGCCGAACCCGCCGCGCCTCAGGCCGCCATGATGGCGGCGCCGGTGTCCGCTCGCAGCTCCTTCCCCCGCGGAACGCGCGGGCMGCGCCGAACGTTCCGCCCCATCCCGGGCGGCCGCAAGGACCGGGAACCGTGACCCAGCATCCTCGGGATACCGGGATGAGGACGGCGGGATGGCTGTGCTGGCAGCTATAGAGCCATGGTCCAGCAGCCCATGGAGCAAACTTCACTCACTTGTACTGGAACAGCTGCTCGCTGGGTCCCGAGCAGCTGTTCCTGCACAAACACGTGAAGTTCCTGCCTCTCTTTTTGGGGATACGAGGTGCTGTGGCAGCATTGTCTCTGAAATATTTGTAACAGCATCATAGGAGTTTGCACCCCAGAATAACCCGTGCAAAAGGCCACTGTTGTCAGGATGTGGGGCCGTCATTAGATTGAATAGTTGCAGAGGGCACTGGAGCAGACTCCCCAGGGAAGTGGTCACAGTCCCAAGCCTGGAGTCCCAAGCTCAAGGAGTGTTTGAACAATAAATACACTAAGGCACATGGTGGGATTCTTGGAACTCTCCTGTGCAAGGACAGCAGTTGGGCTAGATGATCATTGTGAGTCCCWTCCCATCAGATATTCTATGATTCTACCAGCTGAGCCTCTCAAGCCAGTCCTCCTGGGAAATTCCAAGAGATCGGAATGAAAGATCATGAAGTGCTAGAAGTGATTTTAAACTCAGTAGAAAAATGGTCCATACAAATGATAAATCAAAGGGCAGAGCTGTGACCTGGGGGAGCAGGGAGGGAGAAAAAGTTGAGATCTTCTCCAGGACATCGATCAGGAGCCACAAGCCTCTTGAAGAGGCATGAAAGCAAGGGTGGAAACAAGAGGGAATTCGGTGTTGTTTTCCTCCCCGAGGTCTGTAGGCTCATCCATGCCATGTTGTGAATAAAATGTGCCTCCGTTAAAAATCCTTTATCTGAGAGCAAAGTGTTTCTGACTTTCAGTCAGCAAGTCCCTAAAGATCAAATCATGGACCAGCATGGTCAGGAGGGGGGAGCTTTCAAGGAGTGAACATCAGAAACTATTAGGGAAACTGATGGGGCTTAGCCTGTGCCTCAGAGCCATCCACAACAGGTCCCTAGGGTCCCATCATCCATCAGAAAAGGGGTGTCAGATGAGTGCAGAGATGCAGGTATTGGAATAGTGTTGTGACCCTCTGGGCATCAAAGCAAATTGGATGTAAAAAAATGCCCTGCGCAACAAGGGAACTCAGCCAGGGCTATAACGAGCCAGTCAGTAATTTACTTAAGCCACACTTAGCTCTCATCTGCACAGGGAGGGAGAATTACCTCTTTAATCACATCCCAACCAGGCCCTTCCCCAGTTCATGTCATCCTGCAGACACGCTGGAACAGTTGTCTTGGAGAAGCAGTGCCTGGCCTCCTTTTTCCCAACACTCATTAAAGCTCAAATTCCAGGCTGAAACAGAAATKGAAATTTATGATTGTGAGCTATTTTCCATGAATTGGTTTTGCAACCTCTTGCTAGAGCCTGTAGGTAAAAATCAGCTGTTAGTCCCATGTAGGTCAGTCAGGACTGCCTGTCCTGATACCTCCCAACTGCTGACAGCCAACCTGGCTGGCTGACCTGGACTTTGGAGGACAGCATCAGCTAAGCTCAGCTTTTGGAATGGATTTTTTTTTTTAAGAGGAAAAATATGTGGATGTCCAGCTGTCTCATTCCCTTTTAAACAGCTATTRCAACCTCTTGCTCTACCCACGCAGCTTTCTGTGTGCTGGGAGATGTTAATCCATTTTATCTTTTAATGTTGGCATTACCTCTTGACTCACCCCATCTCTTCCCCTTGTGATTCTGCAGCCCAGGTCTTTTTTAGGCAGCAGATAATTCATCTTATTTCCTTGCACAGCCAGAGTGATGTCCCCAAGCAGTGGGGTCCTGGACCCCCACACTTTGAGGATGCCTGGCTTCACCAAGGAGAGGGCCAACAGTGAAAATACTTTTGTTTCTATTTTCCCTTGTCTTTTGTTACTCACCTGTGCGTGCTTCCACCACGCTTCATCCATTCATCCTCACTCCTTCCGGTGCTTTGACCCCTGCAGCTGCCAGCACACACCTCCAGAGAACAGTGAKGGGAGCTACCAGTCAAAGTTGTCTGACTCTGTGTTTCCCAGGATCCAGGGACTAAGCTGCTCACTGGACTTTCATCTCAGCCAGGCAAAGAGTGATGTCTGAGTGGTTGTAGATGTGAAGTTGTACAACCTCTTCCACCAAGTGTGGGGTGGGATGAAGCCCCAATTTACYAAACTATCTCCTATTTATGCTGTTCTGCAGACACACCAGCTCCTTTACCTGCACCTTGAGAGAACAGCTGCTGGASAAGTAGAAAGCAGACTGGAGGCATCTTCTCATCTGGCAGCTCAGAAACTGCCACACCTGCCAGAGATGTGAAGAAAAAGTTTTCAGTTCCAAGCAGCACCAAGAGAGAGTGGGATTTGCAGCAACTTTCTTACAATCAGATTTTTAAGATGTGCTCAAGAGTTCTGTTTGTGTTAATGCAACCCAAGGACTTTGAGAGATCCGGGGGGTTTTGTCACTCTGAGTTGTGCTGTCACGTTGCACTGCTCCTTGTCCCTGCAGCAGTCATAAGAGCTTCACACTTCAGCCACAAACTCTTTTGTGATTTTCARAAGTTCAAGAATGAGAAGCCTGTGCTTCCCTGCACAGCAAAGCAAATTTGGCCAGGAGACTTGGCCAGGAAATGCAAAGGCTCCAACTCAAAACTCCAGAAACAACCCTACCCCTGTGCTAGAGAAGCCCTTCGAGACTTCAAGAGTTCCYTGCCATGAGATCCATTCGTCTCTGGCTTCTTCATCTCTGAGAAGCCTGAATAGAGGCAGGATAGAGTTCCTTATGACTTCTGTAAACAAGCATGAGATACTTCCACCTGGCAGGTTCATCCCCTATGCACAACCATTTGTTTCTGCCTTCTTCAGGTCTGCTTTTTTCTTGCTCACCTTTTCTCCTCATCAGTCTTTTCTCCTCAGTAATCTTTAGTCCCTCCCCTTAGCACACCTAGTTACAATCCAGGATGGACTCTTAATAAAACATAGATATATGTRTTTGCACAGCTTACCCCTGGCACTCTGCCCAGATTCAAAAAGATCCCTTCATACACTTAAACTGAGGTGAGAAACTGAGCATGGAACACATACATGAGGGAAATAAATGCTGCYTATTTTTATTATTAAGATCTCTTATTGGTGATGCTAGCAGTGGCCTTGTCCCTATGCATTAAATGCAGCCTTTATTAATGYTCACATTATCCACTTTTGCATAGTGGCTGATTTGGAGGCAAGTGGAGCCATGAGTGAGTGTATTGATGGCACCCTAACTGTTCACTGGTCCTCTTTTGAAGACTGGGTTACAATTGCTGCCTTTATTTTTATCATGACTTAATGCTTTTTATCAATTGCACTTAGATTGTTAACAGTGGCATGAATTTGCTCATGTTAAAGAGCAGCCTGGCTCCTGGGATATGCTAACAAACCCGAGACTTTCCCCCACAATCGACTCTGCTACTCAAAGATAAGGCCATGAAGATGATGATGAGAGTGCTAGAGCACCTCTCGTATGAGGAAAGGCTGAAAGAATTTGCACTGTTCAGCCTGAAGAAGAAAAGGTTCCAGGGTGACCTTATTCAGGCCTTTCAGTACCTGAAGGGGTCCTACAAGAAAGCTGGAGAGGGACTTTTTACAAGGGTATGTAGCCATAGAACAATGGGAATGTTTYCAAAATGACAATGGGCAGATTCAGACTAAWAAYTGTGAGGCACTGAYACATCTTGCYCAGGGAAGCTGTGGATGTCCCATTCCTGGATGTGTCCAAGGGTAGTTTGGATGGTCTTTAAATCCCTTCCCAATTAAACTGCTCTATGATTCCAATTTCTGCAGCACAAAGAAGACTGCCTTTGTTCCAGGAGGTTGCACGCTATTTATTTTAAACCTTCTCCAGAATGCTGGTCCTGTTGGCTCCGGCCTCTGGACAGCCAAAATCACAGAACTGTTAGGTTTGGGAGGAACCTATGGCGATCATGCAGTCCAACCCCCTGCCAAAGTAGGGTCACCTGGAGGAGATGGCACAGGAACTCGTCYAGGTGGGTTTTGAAAGTATCTAGCAGAAGCTGCTCTGTACTCTGTACCTGAGCACCCCGGCCCCCGGCACCACCCGAGTTCAAAGTTGGAGCTCAAAGTTGAAACCGTGAGACCCCCACTGCCTGAGGAGAAGCGCTCCAGCGGCTCGGGTACGTGCGGGCGCCACCCGGCGTGTGCTGACCAGGCCCATGGCAGCTTCTCGCCCCCTCGGCCGCTCCCGACTGAGGCCTCCCAGGGCCCGGGACCGGCCGCTCCCCCTGCCCGGCCATCCTGCCCGGCCATCGTGCGACGCCTCCACCGCGGCCACGTCAGGCCCAACCGAAGAGTCCCGGCGACCGCTGCGCACCGACCCTTGATTGAGGGACAGCGCTGTCTGATTGGTCAGTAGCGCTGTCAGTCCTGCGCCAGGAGGCGGGGCGAGGAGGGGACCGCAGCAGATGATTGGTCAGCGCGGCGGCGGGCGGCAGCCGGGGTTGGTTGCGCGGGCAGTGGCGGGTGCGCGGGAGGGAGGGGCGGGGGGTCCTGAGGCTCCGCTGTCACCGCCGCGCTCCCGCCAGGCCCGGCCCAGCCCCGTCCGCCCGCCCGCGGCGCGGCAGGACCATGTCGGCCACGGACGAGCGGGCCAAGGAGATCCTCCGCGGCTTCAAGCTGTATCCTCCGTGCGGGGGCCGTGAGGCGGAGCGGGGGGCGCGGGGATCGCCGCCCCGCTGTGGCGAGGCCCCCGGGGCGGGAGGGGGGTTGCCATGGCAACGCGGCTCTCAATGGCGTCCGCACTCCGGTGGTGGCGGGAGGGTCCCTCAGGGCTGGGACCGGCCCTGAGCCGGCTGGGGAGGGGGGCCGGGGTCGGGGTCCTGTCCCTGCCCCGCGGGGTGCCGTGGGTGGGGGGATCCCCGCGGCCAAAGTCCCCAGCAGGGTGGCGGCGGCCACCGCCCCTCCGGTCCCTGCCTGGGCGCTGAGAGGGGCTGGGCCGGGGGCGGCGGCCCCGGGCACCAGGAACCCCCGGCCCGCAGCGAGGACGGCTTACAGAGGGCAGGTGAAGTAGCTCTGCGCCAGGAGGATCTGATCCGTTTCCCTCCGGCCTGCGCTTAAGCACCTCTGCTTGGAAAGGAAATACCTGGTCGTCAGGTCTAGGAGCAACTAAACACCTTGTTCCTTGTCATACCGTGAGGTACTGGCACATGTCTTGGTTGTGCAGTGTCTTATTGCTGACGTATTCTGCGTGTAAATGCCTTTCTGTGCAGCTCATTTTAAAACTTTTCATGTTGCGGCTTTCAAAAAGCATTCTGCTTTTATGCCTGTGGTACCTGGATGTGCGTTTAATGCTCTTGAAATAAGATAGATCTGAGCCTGGAAGARAAGCGAGAGTCTTTGTGCATCTTCCAGTTCACGATTTCAGCAAAGTAGAGAAAGGCTCACCCTAAAGGCCCATATTTAATCTAACATTGTGTGAGAATGGGTGTGATAAATAGAATAGCTTTATTTTACATGTGGTGTATTTTACTGGAGTAAATTCTTCTAAGCTTAGAAGACAAAYGCAAGCTTGCTATCTGGACTTCTAGACATGAGAATATTGTTGTGAGTTGGTTTGTATTTTATTTTTTACAATAAAAAGGACAGAAGTGAAGGGAATATCCTCTTGATCTAAACCTATTATTTCTGAACAGGGTGGTGGGGTTTTTTGTTTCAGCRAGATGTTCATAATCTCTATGCCAGCTGTAGCAGGATCTGATTTTCTAGGTTGGATTTAGACAGATAGCTGTTATCAAACTATAAGCAGATGCTTTTTTTAACTTTTTATAGAATYATTGCAGTCGCCCCCAGCTGTTAGTACTGCATATGGTTCCTTTGCTTCTGCACTGGCACTATTGACAGTTCTTTGTATTTATKAAGATGTAGTATTTTAGCTGTCAAAACATGAATTAAAAACCTTTTGTGCTGTCAGTTAGAAGAAGAATAAGCTTCTGACAAGACCAGACTAAGCTATTGATAGAAGTGAGGAGTGCCTTGAAAGTTAAGTCTAGGGAACAAACTTTTAAGTGCTTTTTGCATATGTTTGTAGATGTCGTTGCTGGRTAGTGGAATTCACATAAAGGCCTTTGTCCCACTTTGGATGAAATAACCCTTTTTGTCGTTTGCTGGTTTAAGCAGAAAATGCTTTTTCCTCTTTGAGAGGAAGGATGTTAGACAACAAAGTGGTATGATCTTAATCAGCCATAGCATGGACAATAAGTTTTATTAGAAATACTCTGCAGTCTGTGTTGAAGTGTTGGAAGTCTAGTCTTGTTTTGCTTGTCCTTGCAAAAAAAAAAAAAATACTTCTGACAGGACAGTTTCAGGCAAAACCTGGACCACACTTCTCCAAAAACRTGGTAGAGTACTGTGATAGGTGCCATAAGGGTCATGTAGTGCAGTCTCACAAACAGGAAAGTTTGGAGAAGCATTTCATAACTGAAACTTTTAGCAAGTYGAAATAGTTGAAAATCATCTATGTGGCTTTTAGTAAACCAGAAGAGTGGCTGAACAGACATTCCTCATTTATGAGGAAGCCTTGAGACACCACGCCATCCCCACAGGAAACTGCTCATGCCCAGCTGTGACCAYGCTCCCTGTAAGGGAGACATCAGCTCAGACTTCCCATCTCTTGTTCCAGAGAGAATTGCAATTTAGAGATTCTTTATCTGCCACCCAGCCTATTGCTGCATATACTCAATCAATGGAAGAGAGAAATGTGTACTGAAAAACTATTAAGTTTATACATTGAGTGCTTGAAAACTTTATCCTCTGCTTCCACAAAGGAGAGAGTTCAACTCCGCCAACTTAAGCACATCCTGCAAACTTGGCACTTCAAACTGAACTTGGGTTTAGCACAAGAGAGAAGCATGGCCTAGCACCCAGGGGCTGTGTGCAGGGGATTCCTTGGGAGGCAAGAACAGTTGCTGGGGCCAAAAGCATAACTGAGGAAGCAGGCTTCCAAAATAATTGCTACCTTTAACACAASAGCAGGCAGTCTTGCTGTAAGTCCAGTTCATATTGAGTAATCCGAGTTTCCTCAAACAATTCTGTTTACTTGTGGTTCCTGAGAAAATGTTAATTACAAGCTTTCCTACTTATTGGGGCATGCT